GGGGATTTATCACAAAATAATAAAATCACAATTGTCAGTTGCAATTAGCAAATTACAAAGGCTGCAATTATTTTTGTAATTTTCTCTTTAAAAAGACTAAATGCCATGTTTACATAAGGTACAAAACCTGTTCACCCAGTTAAGACCTCTACTAACATATTATTAACATATATATTAATGCCCCTGAACATACTCACCAAACTGAATCTTGCTTGAAAAAAATTCTTAATCTTAGTCAGAAAACATCACATTTTCAAAACATCTTTAGCCTTATCATAAATCTGATACACATTTCTACTGCAGATTTTTCTCCAACATTGCGTTCAAAAACTTATTTGTTTTTGCTGATGGAAAAAGCAAATTATAAAACAAATTTCCTAAACCTAAAGATGCTGCACCTTTCACACAGTGACCAGGTCACTGCCTCTGGTTGATTGTCTCGTACCTCATTCTACATGATTTGTCTACTCTGCCCTTTTACATAACCCACATGACCTATTACGTCAGTATTTCAGAATATTTTACTCTCATCTTTTAAACATACTGCTCCAGATAGCAAGAATACATAAAGAATCAAATGCATTATTTCAACTGGAGTCGTGAGATATTCTAGTAGCCATAGACCATCTGTTGTGCACTCTCTAGTCTACACACAGGAAAAATCACATGAAGAAAAGGAATCATGCTCCAGCTTTGACAATAAGGAAGCTCAATAAACTGCACTTCAAACTAGAGCACTGTCACGATACTGAAATTGCCAACTCAATTTCAATACTATCAGAGAATAGGAGCTTATTTGATTATGCCACTAGTCATACTGTCAATTGTCATTCTGAAAAAAATCCAGACTGTTTACATTGTTGATACTGGCTCAAATTTCCACTGAAATTTTAATATGAGTTTTAGTATTAATTACAATCTGAGTTTGGATATATTTTTTGACAGACTCCACAGTCACCACTAAAGATAAGAGCTCCTTTCTAAAAAAAAAACTAAAAAAAAACTTGAAGACCTTTTCGTCCCAAAGTCCCATAAGGTGTCTACAGTGCTGCGCTCAGCTTGAAGGACAGCTGTGCTGATCAGCTGATGCTCCTCTATGTTGACAAGTCCAATGTAAGTACTCACTCACTACTGTAGGCTCTGCTGCTCCGTCCAATCAGGGAGCTGCAAGGGAGGGGTGGGAGAGGGAGAGCCAGCACTGATGTCAAATTATGGGAGAGGGGAGCTGGGAAACACGTTTCCATGGCAACTCATGAAGTGAGTATAACTCCGTTTGAGAGACATGAACAGAGAACAAATACTTGTTCCTTAAAAGTAGGACCTGGTTTGTTATCAAGATGCAACAACTAATTCACCTTGATTTGTTAATGAGTAAAATAATCAATCAAATTTATAATTGTTATCTGCACTATACAGACTGCCTCAATAGAGCAAAGAACAGTATTAGGTCTAAATGTCAATATGTTTAAACAATGCAGTTTTATCAGTAAATTCTCATGTGGCAGACAGTTTTAGCATTATATCGTTCAAGCTCTATAGAGACTACATCAAGAGCTGTGATACTGAATGAGCAGGTCTGAAGAGATAATTCCATTTACTCTAAAATTACAAACCATGGACTTCTTATGTCACATTTTTATTCTCTTGCTGTATTTTTCATTTTCAGTGTTTTCATTTAATAAATACCACTCCAACCCTTTGTACTCTTTGCGTCAGTCCTAAGCCCACATGTAGCAGATGCAGATATGAGAGCAGCATCAAGAATGCTACGTCAATATTAAAATCATTAGGGTTGGGAGTTAGGGGTTAGGGTTGGGTTAGGGATTAGGATTTAGGGTTTAGGGACAAACATGTGGGCTCTTAAAAATAATGACTTCTTAACTGTTAAATGTTGTTATTACTGAAAGGGTACTTGTTAATACAGTTTCAAATAAAGCAGTTTTTTTGCATATAGGATGGGTTACATTGATTACTGCTGCCTTCATGCTGTCAGTCTCAGAGTGTGTGTGTACTACGCCGACAGAATGGATAATGAGCATAATCCCACAAGGCAAGAGGAGCGACTCACAGAAGCTTTACCAGCAGCACATTCAACTGAACAGGCGCCTGATAACTGTCCACGCTCCTCTCCGTATCTAAGTCCCAGAATTCCTGTGGGAAACATTTATTCGAGATCCAAGCTGAGAAGAAGTCCAGGCTAAACAAGGCTATTAACGCAATCTCTTTCTGCAACCGCTGATTACTACTGTCGCCCGAGGACCGCAATGACTCCCATTTTCATTCAAGAAATTCTCGACCACCACCGCCCTTACCGCATGCGCCGAGTCACAGCTCCACGTGCAAACACATGTGCAGGAGCTGGTATTAAGAAGCACAATGCCTTCTGGCTGAGTGCTAGAAATAATGCATGCACTTTAAATAGCAACTCAAAGCAGCACAAGTTCACAAAAAGTGCACTATTATGCTTGCAATTACGGTAAAATAAGTGTGCAGTATTAGGCCAGGCCTTGTTTTGATGCACTCTAAGCTAATAGCACCAGGCTGTGTAACAAAATGGGGTTTAGGATTGGAGTTGGTTTGCTCTCTGCCAACATTAAGGTATTTTGGTGACCCACAGAGACATGAATTATTAACACTGCAAGCTGTCTCCTATAGTCATAATCAGTCTGTGTCCTGTTGTCTTTGTGACTTTGCCTACAGCCAGGGGAACGCAAAACCACAAACCAGCTATGTAATGTTCAGATGGGCTGGGCTCTTGTGTCTTTGTAAATAAACAGTTGCATAAGATTTACCCTGAATTAGCATTTCAATTACAAGGCAGTATTTGGCATGAACAGGGATTTCTGCAAGGTCTAGTGCAACACAAGACCTAGAAAACAGAATTATTATGATAATGCTTTGGTTCTGAGACAAGATATCTGGCTATGTTTTCAAATTATGTGTATTTTAGTTGTACATGTTTGACCTAACTAAAATATGTTATTATTTCTTCTGTCAAACAAGCTGTAAAAAAGAATTCAAGTCTCACATCGGGTTTGTTAAAACTTAGAAACGTGAAGTCATAAGTCCAGTTAACGGAACATGAATGCCTGGATTCTACTTCGTACTTGTCGAGGTTTGGCAAAGTGCACTAAGCCACATTCTTTTAAATTATTTATTCATAATGAAATATGGAGAGGGTGAACCTTTTAATAAAATGATGATCATGCATAAGAACAAAAATTTACTGTCTATTATTTGTTATTTAATGCCACCTAGGAGATGTAAGAATTGTGTCATCGCCACATGACAGTTTTAGCCCTTGTCATGCTTGTGCTTGGAAGTGTATATCTTCTTCTTGTTGCTAACAGAATAAGTTTGAGGACAAGATGCCACCAACAGTTGCATAAAAAAGTCATTTACAAAAATGTGTTGTTTAGTCATACCATATGTGATCAAAATGATGCTTTGATTGGTAGAAGACCAGAAGAAACTGTAATTATCTCATTTGGTTGCTAAGCAGAGACACAGAGAAACCCAAACTTGCCAACAGATGTCGGTAAAGCCAAATTGCCTTGGACCTTTGGTACTGAGCCCTGCTTATCTGGACACAAGACCAGTGTCCTGAACAAGTGACTGTCCTATAATCTTACATTACTGTTGCTCCAGATGTGGGGTGACCCTGGACGGCAGCTTGGATTTAGAGGGAAATTGTTTGTGGACAGCCTCAGTAGGATTACATTTCTAGGACAGTGACTGTTTGTTGTAATTTGAACACCCTGCTTGGGGGTTGCACTGTTTCACTTGGGTGTGAGCTTCAGATGCTCATTAGACTTCCTTATGTTTGAAGGTATGTGCTTGTGCTTTGTTTGGAGAGCAGTTATCCTGTCTTGTTCTGAAGTATCTGCTGAAAGAGCCATAGCTCAGTGCATACAGCCACTGTGAACTAATTAGCTTTGGACTCAACAATGATTTCATTTGTGAAACTCCCTGATGGGGTAGGTGTGCAGGTTTGCATGGTGTGAAGTAATTGTGCATTCTGGTTGTAAAATGAAAGACGTGATATAGAATATCCACTTAAAAAAAAAAAAAAAGACATCAAGGGCTCCATTAAGTTTTAGAGATCGACCAATCTGTTTGTTGTTTTGTAAAGTCAGATGCTGATACAATTTTTTGAGATTCCTGTACAGCTTGATTTTAGGTTCTTCTTAATTAATATGAAACATGAACTCAGGTACTACAGTGTGCTGCTCTACATAAAAATAGATTAAATATATGTAATTTTAATTAATGTAACTAATTGAATATTGTAATAATATATGGTTCATATGTAACAGCTATATCACACTTTCAGAGACATGACTGAACCTGGCTGTACAGTAGAGCTGCTCTGAGCACTCTGCTTTGGCAGACTGTGGGAGTGGTGGTCACATTGCTGCTTGTGCATAATGCACAATGTGCACTGTGAGGCTGGATTTTGGGCTTTTTAGTCACAGTTCTTAGTCCACGTCTGTAAGGAGACAGTCTCGCGGGAGCTTCAGCTACAGAAAAGAGAAGCCCTGTTCTAATTAAGCCAGACCCCACTCTCCAATATATACAATAACAAAGCCTTTCCCTTTGTTTGAGGTGGTATAGGCATAGATTTACACACATTAAATGCATAGCAAGTAACAAAAAATTGTATTTTTTATGTAGAAGTCTGCTGCTGAGACTCAGAGCTTGATCTTAAATGAAATCCTCCTGCAGTGTTGATGTTGCATTACTTCAAACATGGAGATAAACATTGAGGCTCCAGGCAAAAATAAAATAACAAGTATCTTTGGGTAAACAGGTAGCCTTGACAGAATCTCACAGAATGTGAATTGCATTTGCTTGTGCCCGTCCTGTTGAGCACTAAGATGTGAGACGCAAGCCCACGAGTTTATGTTTTAATAATTAACCACAGTGCTGCATTTGAACACAATGCTTCATTTAACATTTCCTGAGTGTCTGATTTAGTTTTTCACATTTGTCTGTTTCAGTTTCCTTGGATGTGCAGATAACCCCGAGTCACGGTGAGATTAGTCTCGGAGAGTCCAAGTTCTTCATTTGTGAAGGTAAGTGTCCTATGTTGACTGGACCTATGCCTCCAATGCCTAAAAAATTTGTTTCAGTTTAGCAGTATATTGTGTTTAATTAATTATATTTTGTGTGATTCAGTGGTTGGAGTTCCCAAACATATAGACTGGTTCGGTCCTAAAGGCGATCGGATAGAGCCCAACAGACAAGACATAACAGTAACTCGTAACGATGAGTCATCGTCCACACTCACACTGTACAACGCTGGAGAAGACAATGCAGGGACATACAAGTGTGTGGCCACCAGTGGAGATCAGCAAGCAGAGTCCACCGTCAACGTCAAAATATTCCGTGAGTACCATAAAAGTAAAGCAGAGCTTTGTGTAGAGAGAAAATATCTTCATTGAAGGAGTATTTTATTGACTGCTCAGGGGCAACACATTCCTCTCTTCATATGTGAGTGAGGATAGATTTTTCATCAGTTCAATAAATGGTCGGAAGACCATTAGAGGGCTGCTTAATGATCCTGTCAGTTGTGCATTTCTTGTGAATAATGGCTTTTATTTTCATTGAACACCAAATATCCACAAATTCTATTGCACATCAAGTTTGAAATCAACTTCTGTTTCCAATGTTTTGTGTATTTAAAGGATTCTTAAGGGAAAGTTGAGCCATACTGTCTTTTTGGTATTGTCATTGGAAAGTTCAAGTTTTTTTAATCTTTGTGACAATGACTTGGTGTGAGGTAACATATTGTGAATGAGTGAGGTAGCATCAGCTAAAATCTGTTTTGTTCTTTTGCTTTTCAGAGAGAATCACCTTCACTAACGCTCCATCACCACAGGAGTTCACTGAAGGAGACAATGCCAACATCGTGTGTGATGTGACCAGCTCGCCCCCGCCCACCGTCTTCTGGAAGTACAAAGGAGCAAGAATACAGATGCATAAAGATGGTGAGGCACCTCTGATGTCATGTGTTTGAGGCACCATTCAAAAAAAGCATTGTGGCCAAACCTCCTTGTCAAAGCCTGATCTCATCAGATCTCAGAAGCTAAGCAAGGCAGGGCCTGGTTAGTACATAGATGGGAGACCACTGGGAAAATCAGGTGGTGCCAGTGGTAAAAAACTAGTCATTCTTGCCTAATATGAATATGCTATGTGTGTGCACGAGTGTTGGTGGTCAGAGGAACTGATGGTGCATATTGGCAGGCTTGCTTCTGTCAATTTGCCCCAGGGCAGCTGTGGATACAATAGTAGATTACCACGTCTGGTTCTGGAATGAATGAATAATGCACCAAATTGTAAAATGACTGTACATCTGGAAAAGCTATTATTATTGCATTTTTAAAATTTTACTTTGTAGTTTATTATATCTAAACTTGGTGTTATTGTTGATGTTACTGTAAGATTTTTGTGCCTTCCATTGAAGGCAACTGTTTGAAGCATACAGGAGCTTTTCTACTCACACCTGATCAAACTGCTTCTGAAACCGACATTGCTAGATGTTTTTTTTTTTTTTTTTTTTTTTTTTAATTTTATGACAGAGCCTTTTCTAAATTAGGAAACAACTTTTATTAATGGAGAAGCATCCTGCTATTTTAATTTAAAGTGTGTCACATAATTAATAATGGCTGCCACTATTTCAGGAACCATGGATAGCCATGGTTCCTGAAATACTGCCCAAAGACATGCCCATCCTCCCAGCATTTATCTGCATCTACTGCATTGTTATTACTCCTGAAAATTCACCTCTAATCAACAAAGTTTTTAAACAAGCCTAGCTGTAAAATATGTGTGGTACTTGTTTGATTGCTTCATTGTCTACAGTCTGAATGTGATGTGCATTATTAACAGTCCGCACTTTATTTTGTCTGTGTCAGTTCGGTTTAAAGTTCTGCCCAACAACCATCTTCAAATCCGTGGGATAAAGAAGACGGACGAGGGCTTGTACACATGCGAGGCTCGGCAGTTCGCTCGCGGGGAGATCGATCTGCGGGTCATCAAGGTGGTAGTGAATGGTCAGTGCTGCTCTGGCTCTTTGATGCTTTTGTTCAGCTTTTGTTCAGCAGGTGTCCTGTGACGCTCAAGTGCTCGGGACATCCTCTGAGAGCCTCTGTATAGAAACTGTTGCCCACAGCAACCTGGTATCAAAGATATTTTATCCTAACAAATTGTTGTTTCCAGGAAGTGCAATACCAAATGGAAGGTTAGGATTGGAATTATGTTTAGGTTTAAGAACATATTTTGGTTCAGGTTAGGGCATACGTACATAACCTTGTGTGTTAATGGGTTAGGATTTAGACGGCATGTTATCCTTGTAGCTGTTGTGTTTTTGATTTGCTTTTTATTATATTTTTTTGTGTTCCTAGTACTCCCAACCATCAGAGTATGGCAGTCTGAGGTGAATGCCACAGCAGAAGTTGGAAATACAGCCATGTTGACATGTGCTCCGGATGGCTATCCTGAACCCATGGTCACATGGGCAAGGTAAAGTATGCAAAGACCTTTTGACACAAGGTTCATTATTTTGTATAACAAATGTGTTGGGTTTGCCTAAAATGTTCTTTGCAGCACTGTGGTGAAAGTTTTTTGTTTGTTATAAGCAAACAAATTGACTAAATGCAGAAGGAGTATCACAGGAACATCTAAACAGTGAAACCTGACGACCAGACTCCTGCAATAGGCACACTATCCCCATTATGTCAAAGCAGCCATTGATAGCTTCTGCTTTTGTCCCTGATCTATTTGCTTTTCAAGCTGCAGTTAGCTTTGTAAGACTTGGAATCAGTCCAAGGATGGTCTAACTGAGCAAAAACACAACCATTTTTAGAGACACTATTTATTGATAAAAAAAAAAAAAGACCCAAATCCATACTGTAACAAATGTTGGTATTAAGTTCCACTTGATCTCTGACAAATGCAGTGTCAGAGAAGTAAAAGCAGTATTAGTGGTGTTGAGTCACCTTGTAAATGTTCCTTGGCTTGCATGTGTTTTTCAACAGAAATAAAGTGGTTCTTGAAGCCGGTGAAAAGTACAGCTTTAATGAAGATGGCTCAGAAATGACGATAATGGATGTGTCTAAGCTGGACGAGGGCGAATACACCTGCATCGCCACGAACAAGGCTGGAGAGGCTGAACAGGAGCTCAGTCTGAGAGTGTTTGGTAAGACAGTGCTGTTCATGCTGTCCTCATCTCTTCTGTAGTGAGGTATAGCAGGCAGAGTGGGTGGGAGATGAAAAATGGTGTCCTTATGTGTCCATTGTCTTAGCCACAAAATTGTGTGTTTCGTGTGGGTTGTCTTTGTTTCAGTTTAAAGATTTTTAGAAGTGCTGATGTAGGATTGGCTTAATATGTGCTTGGTTTTACTAGTGTGGTTATTTGTTTATGCTTTATCAATAACTATTGTGTGCCATTTCTGTAAATATGGGCTTTTTGGACTAATGACTAATGACTTTGCCTCAAGTGGAGGAGTTCAAGTATCTCGGGGTCTTGTTCACGAGTGAGGGAAGGACGGAACGTGAGATTGACAGGCGGATCGGTGCAGCTTCGGCAGTGATGCAGTCGCTGTATTGGACCGTGGTGGTGAAGCGTGAGCTGAGCCGAAAGGCGAAGCTCTCGATTTACCAGTCAGTCTTCGTTCCTACTCTCACCTATGGTCATGAGCTCTGGGTAGTGACCGAAAGGACAAGATCGCAGATACAAGCGCTTGAAATGAGTTTCCTCCGCAGGGTGGCTGGGCGCTCCCTTAGAGATAGGGTGAGGAGCTCAGTCACACGGGAGGAGCTCGGAGTAGAGCCGCTGCTCCTCCACGTCGAGAGGAGCCAGTTGAGGTGGCTCGGGCATCTGTTCCGGATGCCTCCTGGGCGCCTCCATTGGGAGGTGTTCAGGGCATGTTCCGCCGGGAGGAGGCCCCGGGGAAGACCCAGGACACACAGGAGGGACTATGTCTCTCGGCTGGCCTGGGAACGCCTCGGGGTTCCCCCGGAGGAGCTGGAGGACGTGTCTGGGGTGAAGGAAGTCTGGGAGTCCCTGCTTAGGCTGCTGCCCCCGCGACCCGGCCCCAGATAAGCGGACGAAAATGGATGGATGAATGGACTAATGACTAATAACATTTGGATCACATCACATAACACAGTACAAGTAATAGCAGCATTGTAACACTGTTGGATTGATTTGAATACCTGCGTCACATACTGTGCAGTAAACATGTCCCATTGTATGAATGAAAGCTTTTCCAGAGCTTGTGTATGCACAGCACAGGTGTGTGGGCTCGGTCCACTGCAGCTCACAGAACACCATGTGAACAATTAGCATCAGCTTATATACCCAGCACAGACTTTTTTTTTTTTTTTTTTTAGAATACTTTATATGTTGTGTGTATTTGTATATTGTTTATTGTATATTGTATTTTTATTTTTTATTTTTTTACCAATTATATGCTTTGATATTACAGTCAGTATTCAGTAGTATTAGCCTGTGGTAATTTATTGCAATTGTACATGTCCATGTCTGCTCTCATTGGGGAGAAAAATCATGTATAATTGAAAAACAAATAGCAATCTTATGATGAGCTGGAGTTCCTGCATTTCTGCTCTTGAACAAATAGTTATTTTGATCTATATTTAGCATGATATTTAGAGCTTTCATAAGCGAGGATCTGAGGTCAACAGCTCAGTGTACACGTTTGCAGAATCAGAGAGATATGTCTGATCCATTTGTGGATTTTTTTTTTTTAGTGTTTCTTGCATCAAGCTACTAATGCCACAGTGGTCCACAATTTGCCAACAGTGTAGGTTTAGCTGGTAAAATAACTGTTATTTTACTCCTTGGTTAAAAACTCCTTATTGTGGCACCATAACTGTTCATAGGCCTGTCACAAGAGCAAATTATAAAGTGCGATATTTTGCTGAAGTAAATATAGACGATAAACAATAATACTGAAACCAAACCATAAAGCAGAATTATCCCAAAAAGACAATTCTAAATGCAAACTTGTTAAAAAATGTGAACTGTAATAAATAAATGACAGAATGCAACAGAACAGAATGCAATTAAGTAGTTAGTTTGTGTCTATAATGCAAAGAGTGTCCAAAGAAAATAGTCCCCACGATAAATATCAACCCCCAAAAGTTATTGTTCCATCTTTCATATATTGAACGATAAGTTGATATATTGTAATTATCCAGACAGGCCCAACTGTGCACCTGGAATTACCACAATATTTAGCATAAATGTTTGATATGACATGTTGAATTTATTGAAAGGCACTGTTGTTGTGTAGCACGTTCTCAACATAAAGGCAAATTGGAAGCTAACAAAGTGTAGAACAAAGACAATCTCTCAAGTCACAGTGAGGATGTATGGTTGTGTGCTGGCATTTATATTCAGCAGAAGCCTCCCTGATTCATCATGCACAATATTCAGAACAGCACTGCAGACACAAAGCTTCAGGCTACTGTTCACCTGTTTGTGCCATTTTAAGGTTCACTTGCTAACAAGGCTCTTTGCTAAATAACCTTCCCTATGTTTACTGTGATAAACAAAGCACTGTAAATGAGTTTCATGCTTACTACAATCTTTTCAAAAAGCAAATTAGCAGTGCGCATAAGCTCGTTACTGCCTGAGCTGCATTCAAAACACATAATACAACAAGCTTTTTCAATCAAGCTTTTCTTTTTAATCAAATCAGACTCAGGTTACTCAGGTTTGATTGACTACCCATCAAACTGCTTTAAATAATGCACACATAGTTCACTTCTTACTTCTTGTGGTTCTTTAGAAATGTTCTCTTTCTGTAGATAGGTCAGCTTTGGAATCCCTTGACATTTGATTTCCAATGTAAACACAAGGAAAGCTTCAGTGCTTCGGAGCGAGCAATGAAAAAGACAATCCTTATATTGAGTCTTTAGTCTTCATATTTCCTGCCTGTCAAGCCGCGGATCCTCATCCAGCCTTTGAACTCTAGTTTCTCTGCTCCTCACCGTCTCAACTGTCAGCCCACCTGACTAACAAGCCTTGTGTGTTTTACAGTCAAACCTAAGATCACATACATCGTGAATCAAACCAGCTCCGAGATGGAGGAGCACGTCACCCTGACATGTGAGGCATCGGGCGACCCCACACCCACCATCAGCTGGAGTTCTGGTGAGCACGTCTTCACTGAAGGAGAGCAGGTAAAGTCTGAGCACTCATCTCAAATATATAGGCCGACAGAGCAAGAAAAGTGCCTGAATCCGCGCTATCCACTTCTTTCCTTGAATACTGGTGTCCTGTGAGCGTTTGTTTGACTCCAGTAATGAACCGCACCTGCACAAAGGAGGATCATAGTGTCTTGGTCCTATTTTTGCACTGCACGACACTGAAAAAATACCAAATGCTGTGAAACCTTCTAACCACAAAGTAAGGACACATTTTAAAAGATCATCTGTGGATAGATGTTATATGACAGTGCCTCAGTGCTTTCTAATGGGGGCACTCTGAAACCCCTGGGGAGCAGACAAAGCAAAGCAGGACACCAGTGTTCTAAGGAGAGAAATTGAATACCTTTAACCTAAATTCAAGAGCTATATTGATCACTTGCAGATGCACTTTCATTACAGGTTTACGGCCACTATTCCCTGAATAGCAACGTGAACCTGCAGATTGGATCTTGCAGAATTAGCTGTTGTTTGTACTCTTACATTAAGAGGATGTATAATTGCCAAAAATGTCTAGTGCTCTGTATTTATTCAAATATGCACTTGAATTGTGTTTTCATTTGATACATTTGTTTGGCAGCTTCTTGATAACTACATACATTACATCCTTGATACTGCTGGAAATATCTCATTTTCACAGCATCCAAATCAATGAATACCTAATTGGTATTCTCATACATGTGTTGCTCATACAACCAGTTCTTCAAGGTTGTACTGTCTTTTCATTAACTGAGGGGGTGAACAATAGAAAGACTATAGTCCATGGAGTTTTGGAGCCAGCCCATTACATGCACTCCATTTTCTCCCAACAGGCACATCTTAACAGGATCTATCAGGTATGACACTGATGTGGCACAGAAATGTACCAGAGCAATGTTGCAAAAATGTTGTTCTAGAAGAAAATATATATACATATATATATATTTATATTTGAAAATATGGGTTATATAGAGTGAGATTGAAGATTATGATTACCTCAACGAAGCAGCATTTCTGTGCCGCTATTACCTGATCATGTGACCTCTTCATCACAGCATGAGGTTGCCTGGATTCAAGCCCAGCTCTGTCTGTCGTTTCCATTGTGCAGTAGACTGTCTAACATTGGTGTCATGTTACTTAAAAAAAAAATTCATTGTTTCTTATTTTCTTTAAGTGATCCACTTAAAATCAGCCAAAGCAACACTCTCTCCTGTAGGCTGGTGGCCAGTGCCACAGTTGAGGTGGTCAAGAGCAGACATGATAGAAGGACTAAACTGGAGACACCTGCTGGCTACAGGCCTGAGTGGGGCATGTATTTTGGTGGAGCCCTGTAAAGCACATTACCACCACATGAGGCTGGCACATGAGCACCATTGAGCCACAGTTTACACAGTTTACACTGCTGCCTGTGAGAGCAGTGTCAATCCTCATGAGAGCAATGTTACTGCTGAGCACACGGCCCATCTGCTCTTCTCTATTTTTGTTGTCGGTTGGACAATCTGATCAGAAGCTGTCATAATAGGAGTCATCAGAGGGTTTGTTCCAACCTCCAAACAGCCCTTTTTAAAGATGGCTGAATAATCCCTGCAGGTGGGACTGTATTAAACAGGAGGCCTCCATATGAAGCACACTGGTCTATGTCTCTGTGCAGCAGTGGAGCAGGTCACATGACACGTCATGTGTCACACAGCTGTGCTCTGGTGGCAGTGTGTTTTGCTCAGTAGTGGAGTGTGTGCTGTAGACTGTAGCTCTTAGCTCTTCTCTCCATCACTCAGGGGCTCTAATGACTGCATGGGGACTGGCTGCTAATTGTTTTTTTCGTGTCCATGTGGTGTTTGTCCGCCATGCTTTCTGTATCATCACGGCTGTATTTCATCACGGATGGCTTTGACTAAAGCCTCAATTTTGTGGTCAACATTTTAAATGGAAATGTCACTGTTCATATTGATTTCACTATTTTTAAAAAAATATTTAAAACTACATAGATCTACTACTTAATCTTATCAGTACTGTTTTTATAAATATGGTCCACTCCGTGCTCATGAAAACTGGTTTAGGTAGTACTCTGTAATGCTTGTCTTTATGAATAGACTTTACTCATAAGACTTTCTTTCACTGTCAGACAGTACATACTGCTGTTTGGCTATACGCGTGAGAGTGGATTATTACTAAAGGCATTATTTAGTTAAAGAACAGGATTTTGAATGTCAATAGAAGGTCGCATTGTCTGATAGCCGTGAAGAGCATAACAAAGAAAGAGAGGATTACTGCCTTGCTTTTGTACAATAAGACTAGTGCTACTGTACATAACAAAAGCAGGATTTGTCATGAAAGATTTCACTCTTCAGGTTGGGCCTCTGCTGTAACTTTGTTCTCAAAATGAACAGTTTTATTTGTGGCATTTAAATGACAGTTCACTTTAGTCTATTTTCTGATCCATGAAATTGACAGAATGTACAGTTATTATACTTTTTATTATGATTTTCTGGTGTTGTCAAGCTTGCAGCACACAAAGGTAGCCTGACCATTGTTGTCTATGAATACAAAGAGACACTCATTTACGTAATACTTAACCAAATGGCGTGATACTTATCAGTTTTGTCCTAGAAAGAATTCGCCTCGGTAAAAAGACAATAACAAAACCCACATAGAGTAGACAGGGTTTAGATGTAAGAATAAAACATCTTTATATTGTTTGTCCCCTGTACAATCTTCCATTATAATTCATGTTGAACAAAGTCAGGGAGGATTCGGGTGGAAGTGGAGAACATAATGCTGTGATTGTCCCCTGGGACCTGGCGTCACCATATTGTTGGAGATTGTGTCTTCTTTTTACACTTCCTGTCTACTGTTGTTGCTGTGCTTTGTCTCTACCAAACACCTGTCACAGATATTACAGCGTGACTTGTCAGCTCTCGCTCTTCTGTAAACCACTATATGAGAGTGGGGCGACCATGCTCCTCTCTATTGGATTGCTGCTTTTAATTGGGCACCTTCTCCTTCTGTCTGTGTTGTGTTAGTGAAGCGTTGTTTTTTTTTTCTCTCGTTATGACAGCGAGTTCCAGTGCCCTTCAGAATATATTACAGCTATAAAGAAGGGTTGCATTTCATTTGCAGAGTAGTTGTTCACCTCACTTTTTTTTTAACCTTTATAGTAATACCTAATTGTATTGGATAATGCTGGCAATTCTGAACACGTTTTATTCTGTTACGTTATTAAATAGGGCTCCAACATTTTATGATTATTTTAGTAGATGACCATTTAGCAAATACTTTTTCATTTTTAAATTTTTAACCAAATAAAAGTTGAAATAAGGCAACTGAAGACTAATAATTACAAATAAAATTGGCAATATCAATGGAAATCAGAAATATTTTATTTTGATTTATGTTGCTGTTGTAAAGGTCTTTATCTATGTGTTTTATACCCTATATAGTCCAGATACAGATTATTTGTTATTTGTCACGATTAGTCAATTCTTGAAAGCGTAATGTGTGATCTAGTCAATGAACTGTCTGCTTGACCTCAGGATTATTCCACTAGCAGCTCATTTTAAATATCTTACATTTTCTTACTGCACCTGATGAAATAGCTGTTTATCATGTCTTTTATGGTCTAGTACTCTTTGTGGGTCATTACATCGCATTGTCACTCTTAACAGCATCTCAGAATTCACCAAGCATGCCTTTCAAAAGCTTTTAGTGCTGTTAACCTGCGCTTTAAACATTGTATTGGGAACATAGACTGTATAAAGAAGTGGACTAAGAGAGTGTGACATTACCCATAGTGTTCAGCTCCAGTCAAATGAAGCTCATGAGGCTAGCGGTTTTACAGGGGCCAAGCTCTTAATTAGGAACATACATTTATATATGGACAAAATAGTGAAATAAAAACACCAGGCTCATGGAGGGTGGGTTAATACAAACATTTTATAACCAAAAGGAATAGCCTCACACCAGCATTTACACAGAGAGGGGTGACAAGTTTTCAATGTAAAGTCAATTGGAAGTCATTTGGAGTCGATGGAGCTGGAAGTGCTCCCATGAACACTTCCTATTTGGAACGCAGCAGCTAGTGGATTAGCTATGTCCATTTATCTATACAGTCTATGGTTGGGAAGTATGACTTGTATTTTGATTTATTAACAGAGTGTCCAAAGTGTACAGCAGTTATTGGGAAGAATGAATAATTCTTGTAGTACGGCTCAAGGTAGCTTAAGTACTTCTAGGAGCAATAGCTGAAATGCAGTTCAATAGCTTGTTCCTGATAAACCAATGACCTCCTTATTTAAACACAGTGGCGTTATCAAGATACAAATTTTTTCACATTACAATAGCATTGCTGTACAGTTAATTATCACTAAATATTCCATTAAACCTGTTATTTTAAAACAAAATTCAAATACTTAACATTATGAGACGCTGAACTTAAAGCTCTTTGACTATAGAAGACAGACAGTTCAGAATGCATCTCCCCAGCTTTGCCTGCATACAAATTATTTTTTTTCTAAGAATTGCTTTGCCTTTTGTTTGTTGTTCTGTCTCTGTCCTTACAGGCATCATGGACTCGGCCTGAGCAACACAAGGTATTCTAAATGCATGACTTTTTCAGACACCATCCATCTTTCATGTCAGGAACTTGTTTAATTTAATTTGGGATGGATGTAGACCCAAACTTTTGATTAGTTAGGGGAAAAACCTGTAACTTTCCGTCTATGTAAAACATTTTTTTGGTATGTTTTCTTCAAGTTAGAACAGGACATCTGCCTGGTGCTTTGCCATCTTTAGACTGTGTTTGGTGCCGCATGCTTCTGTTCTTCTCAAACTGTTTATGAAGGAGAAATCACACTTTTTGAGTTCTTTCCCACCCACATGTCCTCGCATGGTCCGCTGCCAAACTCTTATCTCATGACTTCTACTTGCATTTATCTATAGCTTTTGCCTGACATCTCTGAATGTGCATTGAAGAGAATGTGTGACAGCTTTGCAGGAGCCAGATGCCTGTTCCTGAAACAAATTAACATTGGCACAGAAATAATCGCCCACACAGGCCTTTTCAACTTAATCAGAATATGGGTTTACATATGGGAGAATGGTGAGAAATTCAGCCTCCCTTGGGGTTACATATTAAAGTGATGTGGATTAAGAAGTTATTCATTCTCATTTGGCAAAACCCGGCAGGAGCTTTAATTGAAATGAAGTTATCTTAAAGGTAGGAGATAAGGCTTTTATGTTATGCAATGCTGTGTTAATTCATTGTGAGGAAGATATTTTACGGCTGTTTGATTGGATTGGAGAACAACAGTTTTTTATTACGTCCCACTCTGGTCTATAATTTGAAAATAATTAGTTTTTTGCAATTCTAAAGCGCGTGCTGTTGTTGCTTGCCTTAGCTTCAACACAATATTCGGGAGTCATTTATTAAAGGTCCTATATTACACAAAATGGATTCTTGTTAGCTTTTAGCCATGTTATGTTGTTACCTTCTTAAAAACATACCCGGAGTTGTGTTTTGTTTCATACACACGTTTGAGTAACCCTTTATTATTAGTCTGTCTACATCCCCAAAGCTCATGTAGTGGTAGTTTTCAAGTTAACAGCTACTTGTTACTTAGTTAAATAGAGATTGGCAATTCCAAGGTTGAAATTATCCAAATGATTCTAGTGAAGGTGTATAGAGTTTAAAAACATCAGGGAGCACTTCCTGCATTACCACATCACAAGGTGGAACAGAGTGTTTTCTGTTTGAGATAAGAACTCACCCATATATACAGGATTTTGTGAATGAAACAAACCAGATCTGTTTTTGATAAGGAAACAACATTATAACATAGATCAGAAAATAGTACAATATAGGCCCTTTACATAGTTTAGAATTCCATCCATGAGCCCTTGCGCTTCCTCCTGTATGTATAGTGTGAGAATTGTGTTGGTGATGCTGTTACGAGGCTCAGAGCATGCACTAGTTTATGAATGCACTGCATGTTTGTGAGTGATTTGAAAAGGTACAGTCAGAGAAGGCTACATTTGTATTCGAGGCCAGCTCAAACTCGGCGAGACATGCATTTAACATGCCCTCAGTGTATTCGCAATTTTATGCCCTGATGTTCAGCTATGTGTCTCCAGTCTTGTAGAGGAGCAGAGAAAGCTGTTAACTGACTCTGCTTAATACTGACTATTGACTGTTAGCAGATTGTGAGGTAGACTATTTGGTTGGTATGGGTTTTTCAGAGCTGATGTGCTTTTGGAGATTCACAGGTGTCTGGGTGGGGTGCAAATGTTAGTGTTCCAGGTTGTTGGGAAATTGTTTGTGCTAAGGGTCAGAGTAAAGGGGTACTGCATTATACAACTGTCTCTGCTCCTGCTACCCGTTATGCATAATGAATGGCCCAGACGTGCTTTGTCTATTGAATGTGAATACAACCGAAGGAGGTTTTCTCTTACATGGCTGCCCGGATGGTCCTAATTCAATATGTGTAAAAGCATCCATGCTTTTGTTTGACAGCCTGGATCAAAGCCATGTGAGCAACACAGGCTTAGTCCTGCTGCTGTTCACTGAAATACAGCCATTTACAGCAGCTCTATCGCTCATGATCAGTAATACTGGAGGTTTGAAGTTAATGCGTTTTTATACTCTAATCAAACTAAATGTACATCTGCTTTATTTCATACTTTTATTTTAACTCCAACTTTGAAATAGGTTCAGAGTTTAAAAAGGCAATGATTCTTTTAAAGAGTAACTACCGTGCCACCAAGGCTAATGGGTCAGTATCAGGTGACGACAGGTGAAACTTATCAGAGAGGTTGCCCCTCAGGTCAGCAGCAGGAAGCTCATTGTATCTCCTTCTCTAAGAAATCCGGATGTAGTGGAACAGGCATTTATCAGCTCGTTATAATTTAACTAGTTTCTCATTCAATGTCCAACCTTCATGTAGTATAAATAACTTGAAACATATTTGTAATTTAAATTACGGTTTTCTCTCCATAATATTAGGGCTATGATATTACTACTTCTTTAGTACTAAAAATTTTCCTCTGTCTTCCACTCACCATGTTCTTCACATGGTGAGACCTCGGTGTGAAAAGCTTTGGATGTTTCTAGTCCCTCATAATTTATTTACAGTCACCTCTTCTTTTATTTTCATTTCTATCTTTTCAGGTCACACTTTCATGCAGATGTACATTATGTTCTGTGAATGTAGAAATGTGAATGTTGTTTTCTCTCCTCTTTTAGAGCCCAGATGGAAATGTAGTAGTAAGAAGTGATGCTCGGGTCTCCTCTTTGACTTTAAAGTATGTCAAGTACACAGACGCTGGACAGTACATGTGCACAGCACAGAGTCCCATTGGAGAAGACACAGCAGCAGCGTATCTGGAGGTTCATTGTAAGTATTCACTTTATTTAAAAGGTTAGAAGTTAAACAAGACTGCAAAGCTCTGTTGGCAGGTGCTAAATCACTTAGCAGTAACTGAATCTGGTTTGAATGTTTTTATTGGTTTTAAGTCTTGAGCAGAAAAAGATTTAAAGGCCTAAATAGTACATCTTTATTAAAGGTGACAACACCCAGAGATGACAATGAATAATGTTCTTAGCTGCAGCAGTCTCATTAATTATGCCTCTCCTAATATAGCATCATATCATGTATATATCCTGTTTATATTGCTCATTCAAACAGAGAATATAATGTGAGAATTGTAAATGTTTTATCTAGATGCTCCCAAGATCCACGGCACAGTGGCAATGTACACATGGGAAGGCAATTCTGTGAACATGAGCTGTGAGGTCAGGGCCTACCCCAGTGAAGTGTCTATTATGTGGCTGCGCGATGGACTCCAGCTGCCCAATGCAAACTCGACCAACATCAAGATCTTCAGGACCCCCACCTCCAGCTACTTACAGGTACACAGCTCTATTAACTAATGTGGAATCCAGCATGTAGTGGATTTAAATGTTCACACTCTTTCTGTTCATCAAAATTTGATGAGGATTGAACTGAAGTGTAGGATTTTCTTTCAGCTACATTGTGGAAAAGATGTCCTGAATTATTTAGCAGGAAAGCTCACAACAAATAAAAATAGGCTCCACTAATGGACAAACATAAAGGTCACCTTTAGAGGCTTGACACAACTTTCTTCATCTGTTCTGCCTCTGTGCCTTCGTACAGTAAACATGCTCCTGTCCTCTCTCTCTTTCCTGCAGATAATGCCAGAGTCAGAAAATGACTTTGGGAGCTACAACTGCACAGCCTCAAACGACATGGGAACGGAGTCCAAGGAGTTTCTTCTGATTCAAGCCGGTCAGTCCTGAATTGTACAACTGCTATGGTTTAATATTATACATATCTATCACACCTACAAAAGATTAGGGTTGTCCCAATCCGATCACGTGACTGCTTACTCGATAAAGATTCGGACATTATGTGCCGATCAGGTATCGGATAAATAATATAAGTATTATAAGTAGTATCAGCAGATACTCAAAATCAAAGGATTCAGACTTGGGGGCAAAAACATTTAATCGGGACATCCCTACAAAGGATACATAGTAGAGTGATAGCTACCAAACACACTGAAGTAACAGTTAAACCTCTGAATAGAGACACTCCTTTAATAGAAACAGATCAGTATTTGTTAAATGGCTTTTATATCAAGCTCAAATGCTGAAAGAACCACTGACAGATGATTTCCTGTTCGGTTCATTCGGTTGTTTAGCAAAACAAACAGCCTTAAGGATTTTATTTAGCGCAGTTAAAAATAACCACTACTGGTACTGTGTGCTCATGCAGTCTCCCACCATCGCTCAATAACACAGCAGCCACTCTCACACAGTGTAGAAGATTACAAGTCTGTAGCCTTAAAATGAATTGACAAAACCACAGTTCTCTAATGTTAGTAATTACACTGGATTCTCTCTCTTTTATCAGCAACGGGCTGAAAGTCAATAATCATTCATGTGAATGAAATGAAATAGTTTTTTTTCAGTGTCTCTCTTGCCATCCAAAATTAATTTGATGAAAATGCCTACTCGTATAAATTTAGGACGGAAAAACACAACTCTCTATCTGTACCTGTTGTAAGTTATATTGCCATTTCAGCAGTAACCAGTGTGTGTCTTTTCCTGTCACAGACGTCCCATCATCCCCCTCTGTGAGTGAGGTACGGCCCTTCTCCACCACGGCACAGATCCAGTTTGAGGAGCCTGAGTCCAGCGGCGGAGTGCCTGTTCTGAGGTACAAGGCAGAGTGGAGGCCTCCTGGGAGTGCCCGCTGGCATCACAAGGTCTTTGAGGCCCAGGATGGTAAGAAAGTGTTTACTTTGAGCTGAACTATTGGTTATATATGCAATCTCAGTTATATAGATCTTGAATAATTGTCATTTTACAGCTTTCAGTATTTTGTAGCTGGCTGAGAAGAGAAATCAATGACACAAGAAAAAAATGAGATTGTAATATTAAATAAGGAACTGCAAGAGCATTATTGTGTTAAGAGTCATGCGCAATACTATTGTGATCAGAATAAAAAATATTTAGTTCCAATACGTCACTGTGTCACTGTGTGTGTGACGAGCCAGGAGTAGTTTGTTTTTGCGCTAATTAAAGCTTTGACCTGCCTCTTGTGACAGGCATTGTCAGTGAGATGATCATCACAGGCCTGAAGCCAGAGACCAACTATGAAGTCAGATTATCAGCCATCAACGGGAAGGGTGAAGGGGAGAGCAGCCCTCCTGAGTTCTTCAAGACAGAGCCAGTCCGTAAGTACATTCATGCCTTTTAGCAGAAACTCTGTAAACAATATGGGATATTTACACAAGCGGTTGTTCATGAGTTTACATGCAGAACCTATTATGTGTACCTTTGCAACTGCCTATTTTCTATAAACCTGAAGCAATGGTATGGATTGAGCTGGTTTCTTTAGTGTTTAGCGCCCCCTGCTGGTCAGTTTAAAAAATCTTCATGGCCCTTTTCTATTCCACACTGTAAGGGTTGTTGACTCCAAATGAAATCTGTTTAGAGACATTTGGACAGCGTTTTGTGTTATCTTGATACTAATCGTCTGCAGATTCTTTATTTTTGGCTGAGGCGTAATTTTGTCGTCTCATGTGGGTGGGTGCATCAGATTTAGCTGTCATCCGAGTCCTTTTCAAATTAACACAAGCGCTGGTGTAGGATTGATGCATTTTTCATCAACAGTCTGTTATCGTCTGCTTTTCTGGATAATGATCTTCCTGTTTTTATTTATTTATATCCACACAACCATGCCCCCTATCTCTATATTCTGTTGTTTTATTTAATAATGTAATTCTTATTCTCTTTGTAATATCAGAAAATATCAGAATTTTATTAGGTCTGACTGATATAAAAGTAGCAGCAAGCGTGCCTTATATAGCTTAATTCTGATATGTAAAACATTTGGCAGATATATATTACTTATTAGAATACTGTTGCTCCTGCTAGAAGCAGTATTTCTTGCTTTACTAAAATACACATAGGTCTTAAAATCATACCCAGAATATTGCCCATGCACAGGTATATTTCTTAAATTATACAGTAACAAGAACAGTTAATATGCTTGCGTTCAGCAGACTTAACCAGAACATTGACTCCAGATAGTCACTAGTGAACACCCCTGATTCTGATTGCTTGATTTGTTTCCTTTTCTGTCTCTAGATGGCAATTTTCATTTTTTCGCTGAGGATACAGGTTTGTGGAGTAGTGCGGATAATAGCTGATTAGTCTTTAGTGTCCTAGCGCTGTCTGTCCTCTCTGGACCTCATCAACCCTTCCTGATTAGCAACATTTAGAGTAATAGAATAACCAAAAGTGTGCGACCTTGCCTGACTGTAACTTTTTCCTTACCTCTAGATTGTAATTTATGTAGCATGTTGTCACCTATGAATATTAATACCACTTTGATTCACAGCTTGAGAAATAATTGGCTTAATGGCTGTATTTTTGAAGTACGAGCAAATCTCTGCAGTTCAAACGCAGTGGGGCCCCTCGAGCGGCCGCCATTGGGTGTAATTTGGAAATGTTTACTTTTGGATTAGGCTCATCAGCTTTGATTAATCAGCTGTCTCGTAAATCACAAAGTCTTAAATGAAGACAAAGCAGTTGGATGCACCTTTTTATAAAATGTTGCTGTTACGTTGCCATGCCAGTCTGTTTGTTTGCCTTAAAGGGATTTGTTATGCTTTGCTCGTGTTGTCATGTCTTATTGTGCATTTGTCTCATTCACTCTCACATGTGCGCACCATGTTTGTGCCGATGTCCTCCATTCCGCAGAAGGTAACTGCCCAATTCTGAAAAGAGCACTTCCTCATCAGATAATTCAAATTAATTCATCCATTTAACTCCAGTTGCTCTGAAACGGCTGTGCAATATTACCCACCTCGAATGTATTAATCACAGAGTTGGACATTTGCCGTAGTGGGATGAACGGGGGAGGAGCACAGCCGTTTACATGGTGATACATAACTGTCACTAGAGTTTAACATCATCATCACGTGGGCAGTATTGATGGCTTACAGAGGAAAAACTGAAAAAATGGTCCCTGTTGTGTGTTGGGGTAAATCAAAATTTATAATAAACTCAAGAGTCCTAATCAATGTTTGCTCACAGAAATAAAGCTCACTCCAGTGTAGTCAAAGTCTCGTCTACCACTACAGCTATTACTACTACTAGTAGTAGGTGTAACGTTAATTCAGTGAAATTAAAATCTAATTGATTTAAGAAATCATTACATAGCTTACTAACCTTCTTGACGTTACATTTCACATTGAAATAACAAATTAGTTGGTGCGCTTTCTGTATTGAACACAGGTTTCCTATAAATTTGGAAAAGTTGTTTTTCATTTTTATTTATTCATTTAATAAATTACATTTCTTTATGCACTGATTCCATACAGAGTCCCACCAACACAAGGTTTAAAATATCATGTGGATTGATGTTACTTATACAGTAGTAGTCTTATCTTCTCACTTATCTGTTTATTCTGTGAAAGCCACTGGTGAGAATCCCCATTTCAGTCAGTGCGAAAAGAGCACTTCCCAGAGCTGTATTACACTGGCACTATGTCAGTTAGCAATTTAATGCTGATTGAAAGCCACTCCCAGGCCGAATCAGATAAGCATGTGTATGTGTCACTTGGTAATTAGGCTGACTCCAGACTTGCTATCTCCAGGAAAGTGATTTAGGAAGGCCAAGTGCGCTCAAAGAAAAACAACAAAGTGGAAAGTCAGTTTATAATGAAACAAAAGAGTTTACTTTAAGATGGACAGCTGCTTCTGTTTCATAAATATGCATGTGTTTACACAAGGTGCTGCTCTGTCCCCACAGGAAACCCCAATCCTCCAAAGCTGGAGTGGAGTCCTCAGCCCAAAGGCAACTCTCTCCGAGTGGGCTGGATCAAACAGGACGATGGCGGCTCACCTATCCTACATTATCTCATCCGTTACAAACCTGTAAGTATGACCAGTACCAATCCACTGTCCACTCTTTGTAAATTCAAAAGTTACGTTGTTTTATGAGATTTCGAGAACTATACATTCTATCATCTCCTGAACTATTTGTACTTGGTTTGTGGTCCCTCTACTTTTCTAGGTTCAGGCAACAAAGTGGAAACCTGAGATCCGTGTGCCCAGTGACAGTGACTCTGTGGTGCTCAGAGGACTTGAATGGGACACAGAATACAATGTGTTTGTTGTGGCTGAGAATCAGAAGGGCAAGTCCCAGCCAGCATCCATGTCATTCAGAACCACGGTAGAACCAGCTGGAGTACCAGGTATTCTCCCAGTGCTTGAACATTCAAACTAATCAAAGAGCAAACTCAGAGCAAACCAAAAAAGGTCGCTGTTTTTACCTCTCCACCAGTGAAAGGTGAATGACAACTAAATATATCTACAAAAATGATTTCTTGGACAGCACTGGGCCAGAAATGATTTTCCGGTTGAATCTTCTAACTTTCAAGTTTTGACAGGCCTTGTTAAATGAGTCTGAGTTTGCTCTTGCAGAACTAGGACAGGCACTTCCTGCAAAGAATGACGTTATCTCCATTAAGTTTTGCTTTGTCAAGAGTTAAAAAAAAAGAAGCATTATGACTCCCTAAATATTTAATATTAACATTTCTAACTACTTTCAAGTGTAGTGACCATATAAAATAAATCAGCCTCACAAATGTAGGAGCAGCAGATCTTGTGCATTCATTTTCCAGTCTAAAGCATCCCTTACTCACTCACCATCTCAACATTGTGCTGTGCCTTTTCTTTGATGTGTTGCCATTTCCCCCCGATTACTACAATGATGAGTTTTCCTTATTATACTTTGGTTTATTTCAAACCGTACAGACACATTTTCACTTTCTCTCTTCTTGTGTTCTCCCACCCTTCTCTGGTTTTCCTCTTTGTTTCCCTTCATTTGCCCCACTCCTTTTGCTCTGTGTGTTGGTGTGGCGCTCTCTTGCCTGATCTTGGACATTGGTGTGGTGGACCACGAACATTTGCATCCTGACGTGTGTGTATTTTCAGCCACACAGGGCTGTTCATCTGTGACATACACTTTGGTATCACTCATCCTGTCTGTGTCCACCATGTTCCTGCTCTAATAGGAGAGAAAAGGGGAGTTTGCCCTCTTGGGGCCTTTCTGGACAATGTCACTCTTTGATTTTATCAGAGAAAAGGTGCTTTAACATGACTCTGAGCCAAAGGCACCAGATCTCCTCACTCTGCTCCAGCTCGAGCAGAGCACCAGTCTACAGAGGCTGAAAATACTGTATTTACTGTGGGCTGATGAATGACAGAAGCACTTACAATGATCTGTGAGAACGTGTGTGTGTGACCGTAATATTAGTCTAGTAACAATTATGCACAAAATATTTTTAGTTTTTATTTGTAAATGTTGTAATTTTTTTAGTTTGTTTGAAAAATAGCTATATGGGTTTTTATACACATTTTTATTTTTTGATCATTTGTGTCAATTCTTTCCCAGTACTTTCTGGTGGGAGATATTCAAAGACAGAACACTTATTAATTTTATCAATAACAGTACAATTCTCTGTACAATACTGTCAGCAAAACATTGTAATATGAATAGAAGAATACTGTACTAATTGTTTCTTATTTTAAAATACTAGCAACATCTTATGTATCTGGTGTTGCTTGTACTAAATAAAATATTTATTTAAATATACTCTTTTAATACCTGACACCATAGACTAAGTTAGTATATCAGTATTAGTTAAAAGAAACATCAGATGCACAAAGGTGAGTATTTTATTTTTATGATAAACTGTAGGTAGTATTTTTGTGTCTTCGTTGTTGATGAGTAAAACCTTCTCTTGTTTGTGCTGCAGATCTGGGCGAGGAGACAGTGCTCAATATGAACACTATTCTCTGGGCGGGCATCATAGTTGTAGTATTTATACTGCTCCTGCTGGTTGTGGATGTCACCTGTTACTTTGTCAACAAGTGTGGCCTAATTATGTGCCTTTGTGGGAAGTCAGGCACTGGCACTAAAGGACACAACCTGGAGGAGGGCAAGGCTGCATTCATGTAAGCTGTGTTAAAAAATGCATTTTAGAAGCAATTGCATTTAACAGAGAAATGAGATTTGTACCATATAGATCAATACAAAAAGCAAGAAACATAAGGTAGTAGGGTAGACTATAGATGCAGACTGACAGAAATGGCTGACTTAAATCAAATTGTGTGGGTAGGAGAATTATGTATTGATTTGTCTACGTTTTATGGTACTACTTTCAGTGAAATGCAGCCACAGTTAGCCAGACACAAACATCGATCTTGTAATCTGCAGACAGACACAGAAAATCTATCCTCAAGTCATATATATATATAAAAAATGCCCTTCTATGTGGTTACTCTTATTAAAATATATGATGTGCCCTACAACAGAAAAGATGAGTCTAAAGAGCCAATTGTTGAAGTTCGCACTGAAGACGAATGCACGGCCAATCACAACGCAGCAGGCCCCACAGAGCCCAGTGAGACCACACCCCTCACAGAGCCAGAGTAAGTGCAGCTGACCTGCAGCGCGCGGCCCTTTAACTCTTCCTTTGAGCTGTGTACAATGCACTCCACTTCAAAGAATCATTCTTTTTAACAGACCGGCTGATTTGGCCTCCATTAATGCGCACTGTGAAAAGTCCGGGTCATTCTTGAGTGGAGTCCACTGAACTGTGTTGCTTTTTGTATTTACTCCCATTCAAAGGGATTATCGCACTTTATGTTTTTTTCTCCAGTCATCGGAGAATGTTCTGATCTAAAGGTTGAAGCAATACCAGTTAAAGACAGTGAATTTTCAGCATTTACAGTGTGGTCAACTCATGAAGTCATTTGACAACCACAGAAAGCCATTTTTCATGCAGACTATATGGAAAAGTGCATTTGAAAATTGTCACTGGTACTGTTTAACCATAGTGCTGTAGCTCTTGGTAGCCTCTTTCTAGTATTAGTTTTCTAGTCCGTGTACTCCATGTTGTGTGTATGGGGTGTATCCTTTATGGTCCACTCACAGCATGATGCCTTTTTATTTCGGTTAATTGGCCTAATATGTGCTTCTTTCAGTTGCTTTGTCTCTACTCGTGTGGTGTTGTAACTAAACCCGTGCATGCTGGTCCGAGCCACCTTCCTCCGTCACAGTCACCCTGGTGTCTAGTCTGTGTGTCTCTGTTCTCTCCCTGCTCTCAGGCTGGCGGCTTACACTGCTGCTCTGGCACTGGACACGCTCTCCTCAGCCACAGCCACTGCAACTCTCGACCCTGCCCAGGACAGCCCCTCTAGCGAGACCACCACCCTCACCTGTAGTCTGTCCACTCCTGCCAACGAGCCCGCACACGCCCCCGTCACCGTGGCAGCCCCATGTGCCGAGTCCAACACTGCCCCACCAACACCTGTCAACTCTTCTACTGACGAAGTGGAAAAAATAGAGCCACCCGTAAAGCCCGAGAAGGCAGATAGACCGAGCCCATTAGTTTTGGAACAGAAAGACAGTCTCATCCCTGAGGAGCAGCCTAAACTGAACACTCCTCCGTCTACTCCGGATCGGACTAAAGATCCTAAATCTGTCACGCCAATACCACCAAAGCGACGCTTCTCTCCCAAACTTAGGGCGGCACAGCATGCAAGAAATAGCCCCCCTGTCTCCCCGCTCGCCGCCTCCTCCCCCTCTGCCTCTCCCACTCTAAGGAAGCCCGCCCCCAGTCCACCAGTGTCCCAGAAGGCTGAACCAGCAGACCCAGTAGCCTTAGACACTTTCACCACACCTAACACTGCCACCTATCCTGCCACACTGCAAAATGCACACAGCACTGCCCCAGAGAGTAACTTTAATAATTATAAACTGTCTGACCAAGTGGATGACTTTAACATGACCAAAAATGCTCCTTCAGTCAATCATGGTGACCCCAGCGTGGATACTGAAGACACTGCCCCCCTAGTCGCAGATGTCCCTACTGGGAACTCTGCTAATTCCAATCTGAACACCTCAAACGACCTCTTTGCGATGCATCCCAACACATATGATTTGCTAACTCCCGAAGCCCCCAGCCCGCACCTCTCTGGCTTGGAGAGTCCCGACTTAGAGTTAGAGTTCGGGGACAGGACAGAGAGGCCGTCATCACCCCCTGCCGACCTGATTAGCCTAGACAGCCCGCCCTCTGATCCCGCTATGCCCAATGGAGATGGAGCAGACCCCTCATCAGAGACTCTGGCCAAGACCGCTCCTCCTCCTGTCAGCGATGAGTACGGCTCCCTCTAGAGGTTTATCTGTGTGTGTGCTTGTGTGTGAGTGTGCGTGTGTATGCCCATTCATTCACCACCGCATCCTGCCATTGACCACGCACTATCTAAAGTAATGGTTAATTCGGCAATGACAGTATTATTGGTATATTTAGTTCAATGTTGTGCTGTGAATGAAAAATGATGTCTTGATTTTTCTGTTTTATGCTTGTGTGTGTCATTGTCCATTTGGGGGCGGTTTACTAGACCCACAAGAACGGGCTTACCCTCTAAATTCATAAGTAGATTAGTTATGTATTTAAATAGTCTTTATAATTAGCCTTTTTAATCACTTAATAAGCCAGGCCTTGTCTCTACATCAAAAATGTCACCAGTGCATTAGTTTATTTTCACTGTCACTTTTTCTGAAATGTTTTTTTTCTTGTTGATCACATAGAACATATTATGTAATATAGTTAATTTCTACATAACAATAAGCAGTATAATGAACTGTAATCAAATTAAACACAGCTACAACCTTTTCTTTTACAATGGAACTACACACAAGTTAATATCACCTGCTAGAGAGGCTTGTTAGCTACATTATAAAGAACAAAAATTCCTATTTTTTCCTATGATGAGTTTATTGTCTATTTTCCCTACTGTCAAGGTGGTGAAGAAATATGTAATAAGATGTCCAAGTATATAAGGCGTCTTCTTACATATTGGGTGAAAATGTCATATGGATACATGGCTAAAATGTTAGCAGCTAATACTAATTGTGTTCAAATATTGTTCTTTAAGTAATTCAGCTCTATAATGATTGAACATGCTTCCCCTTTCACCCTTTCAGGCACTTTTTCTCAGATGAAACAGGCAAACTGGAGGAGGCCGAGTTAACAAACGCCCTGGCAGAGATCTCTACAGGACACAACAGTATCATACAGACTGAGAGCAAAGCATGATGGGACATGGCCATTTTCCACATGGACATTTCAAAACTGCTGAGTTTTGATTTCCAGTGCCCTTAACTTCATTTTACAAACTCACTTGTTTGAATGCACCTCAGTGTGCTCCTGATGGGTCACGACATGTTTACTACACCCTGGAAGTTTAGATCATAAGAGATTTATTTTATTTTTATATTATTTTATTTACTCGCACAGGATAAATGGTAACTATCTTATAATATCTGCCTGATAAAATATCAAATACACTAATAACAGTTCTTTTTTATGTGGTTATGGTTTAAACTGCCGTTGTGCACAACCATTGAATTATTATTAAAAGATGTAAAAAAGGACTATATATACTATATAAATATATATATATAAATAGAGATTATTTTTCTTATGTTCATGTTCTCCTGTTCAGATGTACATTGTTGCTTTTTTGTTTGAATTGTGAGTTAGTGTTTTTGGAGCTTGTTCTGCATGTCTGACCTGTAAGGTTGTACTATTTTGTTTACAGTGGTTGGTGTTACAGCTTGTCTTTTACAGGAATGCTGTAGGTGTGTGGATTATACCATATCTGATCAATAAAATAATTATAGAAAAATCTAGATGGAAATAGTAGGCCATATTTCTATGGTAAATTAAAAATAATATATTTGACATCAAACTATTTTTGATGCTTTTAACATTTTAGTGCATATCTAAATAAAAACTGCATTTAAAAGGCAATGACTTACCCTCACAAACATTGGTGAAACTGACATTACACTTTTGGTATAGCCTTGGGACAGCTTCAAGTGCTACTAATTCAATATCACTTGAGTAAATCAAAAGTTGGTCTTATTTTTAGTTGTGGAAATTGTATCTTGTAAAAAAGAACAGTTTTGTTTCCATTCCTGCCTGCAAGCTTGTGCACTGCGCCTGTGTGTCAATAGACTGTCTTGTCCTCAGTTTTAATAATAATCTGCATAGCGTTGTTGTGACAGATTTAGCCTATTCTTTTTAGTATTCTGAATGAATAGAACTAAAATGTAATAAATGAACTAACATGGTGTGGTGTATAATATGTCTGTCACAGCACTACAACTCGCAGCTGTAGTGAAAGAAGGTGTGCCGTGGCATGATTCAATCTTTTTATAAAAACTGTGCTTAAAATATATGTCCATGTTTGGGCAGACTCATCCCATAGACAAATAGTGTAAACAAATCAATTTTCCTCAAATGTTCTATATTGGGCCATTTACTTATGTACAAAAATCCCCTTTTTTATTTATTTTGTTTTATTTAAATTATTATTTTAAAATCAACTTTGACCAGATGAATAAATGTACAGCATTTTTATTGCATCTTAAAAAGAATGGACATAGGCCTAATGGAGTTCATCAGAGAAATCTTCCACATTTTCTCAACCACATTCCTAGTCTGTCTCAACTTCAAACATATTTTATTTAATCTTATATCTGTACTGTACAGTCTGGGAGCTAACCCATCTTCTAAATAAAAAAGGTTAATTCTAAAAGCGTCTGGCGCATTTTCTTCATTTCTAGCCCTTGTCAGCGCATGTAGTGCCATGCTTTATCCAGTAGATGGTAGTCGTCGCCCTCTGATAGTTGCGTCTTGTTTTCGCCATGTCATGGGCGCACTGGACTATTAACAGAAAGGTTACAGTGCAATCAGGTTATTTTGGGCAGTACATTCTTCGGGACACTTGTTCAGATTGCACTGGGGCAAACAAGCACGTGGTTATATAATGCGTGTTTGGGTATGAGTCAAGTTAACTCTTCCCGGCTTGGATGTCAAAATATTGAGTGGGGTACTAGAGTGAGGTATTTTCAGCAGAGGCATGCCTTCAGCTAATGTGACATGAGCCGCAAACGGGTGCTGTGTCAACAGTGTCCGTGACCACAGAAGACCGCGGTGACCTGACGAAGCATCCTGTTTCAGACATGCGACTAAAAGGCCCCGCTTTACCTCAGTTCACTTTTCACTTCGCCTAAATACAACTCCTGTAGCCGGCTCCGCTCCGGCAGTTGTGTTTGCCCTTTAGAATTGAAAGTGGCTAACCCGGTGGCCTGTCAGTCTTCAGATGCCCTGCAGATGTCTCTGATTGCAGCAGGAGCGAAGAGGAGCAGAGGGCGATCACTCAGAGCCCTGACGTCGGCCGCTCATGATTTGCAGCCGGTCAAGACGGCGGCAAACTACCGTCATAACTCAGGTAATGACGGAAGACGCCTTTCACTATAAAAGAGACTGTTTTGCATCATCTTCGGCCTAAAACAGATTTTTACCATTGTGACGTAACAAGAAATCTGTTTTTTTTTAACCCCCCGTACATGCTGTAGGCCAATGTTTTAATTATATAAGGGTTTTGTTTGCTTTTTTCTTTCTGGTGCATCACTAAATCAGTTTGAAAAATGAATTGGTGAAGTGGTTTAAACTGTTGCCCATGTGGTTGTTTCCACCTCAGCTTGGGTTTGCCTTCCAGCCCTGACCCTTTGCCGAGTGTCTCCACCCTCTCTTTCCCCATTTCACACTGAGCTGCCCAGTCAAATAAAGCCTTTGAGCCAGATAATAATAATAATAATAATAATAATAATAATAATAATAATAATAATAATAATAATAATAATAATAATAATAATAATAATAATAATAATAATTTCAGTTGTGAGTTTTATGCAGTAGTAGGGAAGCTTAAAATTGTTATGTGTTGTTACAGCAAGCATGGCAAAAAAATAAAAAAAATAAAAAAGAAAGTAGGACATTATAGGATATTGTAACTTAATCTAGTATGTTAGTAACAAATTGAATACTTCCCAGATAAAAAACAACTAAATTATTATTATTATTATTATTATTATTTATTTATTTAATTTTATTTTTTTAAGGTAAGGCTAAAGTGAGCAAGTTCACTTCTACAGAGCAAAAAAGAAAAACAGGCCTATATTAAAAACGTAGCATTTTGAATAGATATTTATGACTTGTACATCCGTGCAGTCTTTTGCTTTTCCCCTCACACCTCAGTCAGCTCAGAGCCAGTAAACTCTGGTGCGCGTTTTATTTTGAAGTTTTTGCCCGGATGTGGGAGCTTCCCTGTGGGGCTTGACAGTGGCGGCTGGCTCATGATTTGCTTACTTGAGGCAGGAGTGAGTTTGGAGCGCGTACTGTGAAATGTGTAAGCATGATGTTGCCTGGATAATCAGCGGAGGGTGAGAGGACGTGGAGGTAGGAACAACTGTCACTGCGCACTTTTATTAGACTATATTGTTCATGTAGGCAACTAACAATTTAACTCGGGTCATTCCGGTGCGTGAACTAGAATGACTTTTCAGTGCTTGTCTGTTTATTTGAAAATGTATTATACTTTCTTAAATACTGACGGAGGGATTTTATACCTTAAAGCATGAAAAAAGAAACTGACAAGACTGATTTGAAACTAAATGTCTAAAATTAGAGAGGAATGCATGCATTTTGGAAATGTCTCCTTGCAGACAACAGGCGGTTTGTCATAGCCCGGGCAGACAAGGGACTGCATGAGCGTGTGCTGAAGGTTAATTTGAAGTATTCGGATTTTCAACGCGCTTATTTTATGTGCACCTGATGCGCGCGGATGGGGAGACTGGGAGTTGGGGCTTCACCCGCATCAGTCGGTCGCCGCTAGACTCATAGACACTGGGGTTTTGGATAGGCTACAGCTATTATAATCACACAAATCCCTCTAACAGACCCGTCCCCGCTCCTCTACCCCCATCCATTATCACACGCTCATCAATTAAATACTTTGATAACTTATTTAGGGATTTTTAGCGGAGCGATTTAATTGTCTTTAACACGTCTAATCACGAAGACGTGCAGCCTAAATGAACTAATGAGCCTCGAGGGCGGCTGGTAATAGTGGGCCTACCTGTTGAGTGCGGAGATGTGTGTGAGGCGCTTGATAAATTGAAGCGTCACCTCTCAGTATGCAGACGTTATTACAGCGACGTGACCGCGCGCAACGAGACCTCCGAATATAATCACCTCTAGTGGAAACTGTTGCTCTAGTCTGCGCTTATCGACCATGCAGCCCCTGCCTCCTATCCACTCTTTAATTAAAATACATAGGAAAACACATATAGGGGCTAGAATAGGTTACTAGAGCTGTCTTCAAATGCTTAGACTGTTGTTTAAAATCTCATTGGAAAACTAACAAAGAAATATAATTGTATAGTTTTAATGTGTTGAGCTGTGTGTAATTAAATGTGCTTTGTGTCACAATGTAACTGAGACAGGTGCTAATGATCCTGTGATCCTGCACAAACCACAGACCACAGACAGCTGAGGCCCACAGAACCAGGCGGGACAGCACCTGATGCGTGGCTCGGGCCGGACTCCGAGAGGAAAAGGCTCTTACAAACATGGGTGTGCTCCAGCTCCACAATCCTTCTCACTCCAGCACTTTGCTGCATCGGGCCAATCAAATGCGTCTTACTGGCACCCTATGCGATGTCATCATCACAGTGGATGGCCAGGAGTTCCCAGCACATCGCACAGTCCTGGCCTGCACCAGCAAGATGTTTGAGATCCTGTTCCATCGCAGCAGTCTGCGATATGCCCTGGACTTCCTGTCCCCTAAGACCTTCCAGCAAATCCTGGAGTATGCTTACACCGCCTCTCTGCAAGCCACTGCTGAGGACCTAGATGACCTGCTGTATGCTGCAGAGATCCTGGAGATAGAGTATCTGGAGGAGCAGTGCCTCAAGGTGCTGGAGACCATTCAGCATGAGGAGAGCCATGATGTAGCCCTGAAAAACCACAGCCCCACAGACCACGGCGAGCCACGCGCCCGCCACTGGAGACAAATGCTAATGTCAAAGAAGCATTCCATACAGGATGGGCCTGCACGCACCACCCCCTCTGTCCTGCACCAGCTGGCCCTGTACCACATGTCTGACAGAAGTCCCACTCACATGGAGCAAAACAACACACCGCTGAGCCCAAAACAGCTCCAGGAGGGGGCGCTGAAGAGCACCCATGAGTCGCCCTCAGAGCTGTCCCAGGTGACCTCTATGGATCCTGACAGCATCAAGTGTGAGAGCATGCAAGTGGATGAGCCTGAGGTGGGCCAAGGCCAGCCCTCCAGCCCGGACCAGGGGAGCGGTGTCGCAGAGCAGTCTCATGATGAGGGGCCCGGGACCCCCCTGAGAAGCAGCGTCATCACCAGTGCTCGAGAGCTGCACTCCAGCCCTGAGCATGGAGGAGCAGCGGCCAATACTCTGGACTCTTTCCCTGGGATAGGAGAGAAACATATGACCTCTGTTTACTCGATGACTGGCAATCACACAGGGGATGGGATGATTCCAGTATCAATGGCCCCACCCTTGGGTGTCTCACTGGACCCTAGAGCCTACGGTGGCCTGTTACACCAGGGTCTGCTCCACAGAGAACTGCTGAACCGCCTGGGCCAGTTCGCAGCAGGAATGAGGCAGGAGGGCCAGAGCCAGGGCCAGTGCTGTGGTGAATGTGGGCTACAGCTGCACAGCCGCCAGGCCATGGAGCAGCACAGGTAACTCACACAAACACATAATGAGTGTCATTTATTATTAGATTTTATATATAACATAACATAACAGTGCATGTTGTTTGGTGCCTTGCATTTAATTGTTTTATAATAAAATATATAAATAAAAATCATAATAAAATTTTTTTTTTTTTGGATTTATGAAATGGGAGGGGGGGTTGCAAAAAAACAAAACAATCAAGAGTAAGAAACATGGTAGCTGTTGTGGTAAATATGTAAATGTATTCTCAGGGACACCTGCACTCATGTCTTTCTTCAAAAGATGCTTCGGCGAGTAGGACTTAGGTCTTTGTTAGAGATTTGATATAAAGAGCCTTGGCGTCAAATAACGTTGTTTTATACAAAGACGTACTTTTTAAATTCTGTTTGATTATTTGTGCAGAAGCGTGCCTCACACAACAGGCTGTCTCTCAGGCTATTTGATATGCATTCCTTTGCATCAGGCGAGAGAAGGCTCTCAGCAGGGACCGGCTGGACGCTCGGGCTTGATGATGGATAACTTCTGCCTCCAAACCCGCTGTGTTGTTTTGTTTATTTCTCTTTTATTTATGAGTGTGACAGATGATATTTTGTCATTGTACACAAACTTAGCAAAGCACACAGACTAGCTCAATGACAGCTCTAATTATCCTGATTTTAGATGGTAATAATTGCGATGGCTTGGCGGCGTTTTACTCATCGCTAATCATTACAAACAAAACAGCCTTTGAGTGGTGGACCCTTATGTGCAGCTAACCCATCATTAGTCCGGTGCTGCAGCCTGTAGTGCCCCCTGTAGGGTCTGACTGACACCAGCTCTCTCTAGAGCTATGGCTCAAGTGCTCAGCCACACGAGCACCCGTCCTGTGAGGTATTTACTGCGCGTGGCTCTTACTCACTCACGCACACACACGTCATGTCCGCGGGTCCAAGCACCCTCCTGGTGCCTCTGCTTCAGGATGTCAGGAAGTTGGTGTGTGGAACCAGGTCACTGAGCATTCACCTGGTCTGCATGCTGACATTTGAGAGTTGTTTGAGGACACACCATTCCAGATAGAAAAAGAATTTGTTGTTGAGTGACGACCAAATTTAATATACAAGCGATGTATAAGAGGGATATTATAGATATATTTTGTTAAAAGCCAAGTGTGGCAGGCAATTTGTATATTTTTGGTCATGTTTTGTAGCTAGTTGTCTCCCCGTTGTAGTTATTATCCTGATGCTGGTTAGTAGTTTAACATATGCAAAATAAGCTCCCTGTACTATTTTGGCCATGTCAGTTTTTAGGTCATTTGTTCGTCTGTTAGTGGGGTGATCCAAGGATAACAGTACAGCTGCCTTGCATGCTTGGATGTGTGTGATATGATATGATAGGCTTTGCCGGCGGAGCTTCAGCGAATCATCTTCTTTTCATTGCAGTTACAAGGGAAGTGTATATGCGCACACTCCGTGTTTAGCTCAGATGTAATTTTGCATGCATTAGTGTGTGGTGCGTGTGTGTGTGTGCTGTCTTGCAGCGCTGGCGGGTGGAGGCGCACGTTTGTCGGCACTCTGAAATTAGCCAGATATCCTATTGTCTGTGTTCTTTTAGCATTCATGCGTTGTGATTCACAACTCCAAGGGCCTCTTATACTAATGATGCTGCATTCAGTGAGGGATTCTTGCCTGAATTAAAACATGCTCCTCTTGTTATGAGGACAATGACGCTTGTGGATTTTGAAGACCTGACAGATGAAAAGCACCTAGACTTTTTATCATTCCAGTTGTGTTTCTGATAACACTCTCACTTTGGTGTTTGTCTGTCCACAGGAGGCTGCACTCTGAGGAGAAGGGCCACGGCTGTGAGTTCTGCGGTAAACACTTTCAGGACAGCATGAGGCTCAGGATGCACATGTTGTCTCATACAGGTACAAAGTCTCACTCCTCACACAATCCTCTGCTTATTAAGTCTCTCAATAGTGCCTCCTTTCAGATGCACCTGTTCCATACCACTCGCCCCTCCCCAGCAGACACACTCCCAGTTAGTGCTGCTCCGAATCCTTGGATCATGCTTTCTGTTCATGCTTAGGCCTGTGCACCTCTCCTCCCTCCTGCCTCCCGCTGCAGCCTCTTGCTTGAATCGTTCCAGTGTTTTTTTGGAGACTTTGGCAGCAGGCCAGCCCGGCCCCTTCTGAGTGATGACATCATGAGCTGCCGGCAGGCCTGGGTGTTCTGCCAGTGTTCCGAAGCGTGTGTGATGGCTCGCTCGCAGATGTGTGTCCAGGAACACACTGTACCCAAATGCAGACTTAATCAGACCTGACTGCTCTCCCAGCTACTTTATCCAAAATAAAGACCGAGGAGCAAGGGGGGGTGAGGGGGCCTAAAAATGAAACTAAAACAGAGGATGAATCCACAGTAGGAATATGTACAGACAAGGCTAGGTCCCTGTCCTGTCTCCTCTTCTGACAAGTGTTTGGGAATGACATACTGCTGACAGATAAAAGAAAGTCTGTTTCTTTAAACTGAGCTTAAAGCGGTTCACCTGAGTCGGCCCCGCTTCAGTATCCTCCGTAACCCTAACCACACTTCTAGCCTTTCCTCTCACACCTCAACATCACGCTCAACTCTTCAATCGCCTCTGACATGTAACAGCAGCACCTTTAACCTTGTTTGATTTCTTTGCATAAAGTCACAATCCTGATATGTCACCCCTTAATACTACAAAGAAAGATGTGTATCTCATTTCTTTGGTGCTGTGTATTTTGGTATAGCAGCCTTAGATCCCGCTGGTTGCTAAGGAGCGAGTGCTCCACCGCTCTAATGGGCTGATTTGGTATTCAGCTCGATGCTGGCTCTTATTTTGGTATGCCAGACAAAGTGTTTTGATGGAGGACGATTGCAGCCGCGTCTGGAGACAGTTTGATGGTTTATGGATGAGAGCACACTCCGTGCCTTTGACTGCACAAGACAATGCACTATGTTCTCTTCTTCCCTTATCACAGAATCACACACAGCACAACATACCACACTGGACAGCGCCACACAGCATCAGCATCTACACACTTGTATTTTTATTACTATATCAAACTATTTGCCACCAAGTTTTATTTTTGACTGTGTAACAAAACGCACGCTCCAAACAGTAACTGTTTGTTTTCAGAAATGGTTGTTTTTAAAAATGAACAGATTGGGGCTTTTTATTATTTGTGCAGCACTGGGAACAGTGGCACACTGTCTGTGTACAGCGCAAGAGTTGAAAGAGGACCACATTTAGGCTGGAGCGCTCAGAGTTCCCAAAGCTTGTGGGTGTTTTAATGAGTCATTTTAACTTCATTTAAAGCCAGCTGAGCAGAAAATAGATCAGTGAATGAGCCCTGGGCCAGTATGGATCTGCAACCGATTTACATCTCTGTGAGAGCCAGCCCACATCCCCACAGCTGTGTGTGTGTTCAGGTGTGGGGAGCAGCGCACACTAAAGTCTTCATCAGAATAGACAAGGGCATTCCAGAGGTGAGCCACCAGGTGCCGGTCCACTGGCCGCAGTGGGATTTGACTCAGTATTTCTGATGAAGAGTGCGCTGCAGGCTCAGTCTGCAGACAGGACCATAGACAAGACCACAGACCTAACCAAAGACACAGGACCATAGAACCATAGACAGAACCGGAGTTTGTTCTGGAGCCTGCTACTGCTGTGGGTTTGATAAGAGGCCTGTAAATAAATGTGTTCAGTGTGCTTCGTTTCCCTAAAAGAGCAGGGCCGGTGCCGCTTGTCTGCTGCTTTTGTTTGCCCTGAGTTGTGTTTTTATGGCACTTTCCTCCATTGAACTGTGCGCGGTAACTTCCTTGTGTTAACACCTGAAAGCCACAAGTGCGTAAAGCCACTCTTTTGGTCACTTCTGAATTAGGGCCCCTTTGTTCTTTCCTTCTGGCCTTTTGCTCAACTTTAATGCTAAATGACTCCAATTTCTAAAGTACTGTCTAAAACATTTCTCACTTCCCCACAGCTCCTGCCGAAGCGCTAGTTTGTGATCAGTGTGCGGCTACATTCTCTTCTGAAGATGCCCTGGAAGCTCATCGACAAACGCACACAGGTATTTCATAAAGCGCTTTTCTTATTATTCTTAACCTGGACGGAGCCAGTACCCAGCTGCACTGTAAAGAGCCCTGTGATTGTGGCTCCAAATGTGTTTGTCATGCTGGCTGGGTTAAACTGTTCCTGTTATGATGCTCCATAATTTATCAACACAGAGGTGGGAGGCCCTCTCACATGTCACCCACTAATATCTCTCGGCATCCACAGCCACTGAATGCCACTTTGCCACAACACCAACGTCACAGTTTTAAAGGAACATGCACCACAGCCAAGTTACCATATACCAAATCTGACATTTTTTAATTGGAGAAAAATAGTGTCTATCTTATTTATTTTATTTAGTTTGTTTATGAGACAGGTACAGTGCACAATATGCAATAGCCTTAACAGG